TTAATTTATTTTATCACTTATATTTGTTATAAATTTTTATCTCTACTATTTGTCTTATGTCTTTTCTATTTCTTCTATATATTTGATAAAATATTAATATCATTAGAAATAAATATTTAAATATTTAAATTATAAATTAGTATATAAAAAAAAAAAGAAAAAGATACAACTTATATTACAAAATATAATACATAACATATAATAAACAGGAATTTTTTTTTCTATAATTAAAATTATTGTAATAATTGCAAATGAATGTTTTTGATTAATATTATAATCTTAGGTGCATAATTAAATAGCAAGATAATTAAATGTGTTGGTGTCAAATATAATGTATAAATTATATTAGGAATAAAAAAATTATGCATTGCTCAATATAAATTTAAAATAATTATTATTAATATAATTATTATAAATATTTAAATAAAATAAAATTAAGTTTTTTTTTGTATTAAAGAATTTGACTGCTATTGATTTCAAAAAAAGAACAAGTTGTCACTTGTATTTTAAATATAATAATAATAATAAAGAATTCAATAATAGTGATAAATATAGAATATAATAGTAAAATTATAGAATAAAGTGTGAATAATCTATCTTTTTAATAACATTATTATTTTAATTACTATACATTATGCACAGCAGAAAAGAAGATTGAATAGAATAGGCAAGAAAAATATATACAATCTGCTTTTTTATTTGTTAGAAAATTATATAATCTTTATAAATGTGAAATTTTTTGTCAAGAGTTTATTAATATTATCTTTATGATTATATAAAATGCGTTGAAATGATTAATTAATCTATATTCTTTTTAATTGTCTTCTTTTTAGCTTTGCACAATACATGGTGTTAAAATTATATTTTAATTTATAAAATTTGAATTATTAGCATCAACATTTCAAAACAAATATATCCATTTGTTTTCAAATTCAAAATGATTAATAATAAATTTATTTTTTAATTTACATATTGTACGTAATTTAGTATTTAATCTATAAGTTACGTACATAATATACACATATTATGTTTTATACTAAACATAATAAAATGATTTAAAAAAATGATATAAAATAATACAAATAATTTATATATCTATAATATTAAGATAAAATAATAAATGTATCAAATACTACTAAAATAAAAAAATATTTAACAAACGCACCATCATCACGAGTGGAAAAGGATGCTTATACACCCGAACAGGCGATTGATATTGTTGAACCATATCACGTCTTCTTATAAATTGACTGCTAACAAAAACTGGAAAAATATAAATAGAAATAAATAGAACTATTATAATGATTAATCTAATTAAATAGTAATTAAATATATTAACTGACCGAGAAAAAATAAATTTTATAGGTTATAATAAGCCAATTTTTAACCTTTTTTTATTTTATTTAATATTAATGTTTTTTCACTTAATAATTATTAAAAAATATTTCAATATGAATTATAAATTATGCAACTTATAAACAAAAACTTGATGTAATTAATATTTCATTATATATTATACAACACAGAAACAAAATAACATAAATATCATAAAAATAGTTTTTGGTAAATAGCACAAATATAGATTATAGTACAACCAATGAGCACAAATCATGTATGTCCCTAGACTGAAACCAATCAGAAAGATTACATTGATTAAAATAGATAATATTTAAATATTCAAATAATTTTAAAACAAATTATATATTTATAATTATTTATTGTTTAAAAAATTTTAAATATAAAAAAAAAGTATACATACATTTGTTTAACAATTAAATATTAGTTTCCGGAGATATCTAACCTATAAAAAATTTATTTTATAATTTTTAATTTGTAACATACTTTATATTATACTAAAACTTATGAAATTTATTAATTGTTATTTTATGTATTATTAATTTATAATTAAAAAAAAAATTATTATTGACATTATCTTACATTATCTAGTAGATAAAAATCTTTTTAGATGAAAGGTATTTATCGATCGTTTCAGATGCTAAAACAAGTATAACATAGAATGCAAATATCAAAAGCTTTAAAAAAATAAACATTTTATGTATGAAAATTGTGTATATAATAATAAACTTAATTTTCAAATTTTTTTAAAAATGGGAGTAGGTAAAAGTCAGTTTTCTGAAGATGAACTGCAAGATTATCAGGTATTACTATTTAATAATTGAATAATTCGTAAATTTTATTTATATTTTATATTTTAGGATTTGACATATTTTACGAAAAAAGAAGTTTTGCAGTAAGTATATTTACATCATTTATATAATATATTTATAATATATTTAATTATATCTTAATAATATCTTAATAATTGCATCAATAAATTAAAAATATAATAAACTATTTAAAAATGTACTTAAATTTCAAAATAAAAAAAAATTTATTTATTCAAGTTATAATATTAATAATATTAATAAGATTTTATTGTAGTAATATTAGTTTTTTTTATAAAATTATTATTTTGTATCAAAAATCAAGAACAATTTTTATATACTTTTATATATT